CGCGCTGCTCTTAGGTGTGGGAATGCTCTTCGCCGTCCTCACCCTGCAGTGGCAACGCTTCTTCACCACCCTCTCCACCGCTGTCTTCGGCAGCGCCATCATGACCGTCACCATCGACTACTTCATTGAGCTCTTCCTCCTGGTGCAGTACATCTACGAGCGCATCAAGGTGGCCCCCGCTCGCCCCGTGTGCTGGTACAGCTGGGTCATCCTGGGTGTCTGGCCACTCCTCACCACCCTGGGCGTCCTGGTCCAGTGGAAGGTCACGGCTGAGGGCTACTCCCACACAGAAGGTGTGTGGCGGCTGGGGGAGATGGACGTGGCACGGGGTGGGTGCAGGAGCTGGGGGGCCTGGCGACCGGGGTGGAAGTTCCCAGCACCTGGTTTGCGTGCACAGATAAGGGGTTTGGGACTCTACGGGGGCACAGAGCCCAAGGGGAGGCATGGGTGCGCAAAGCTGGAGCTGATTTGGGTGTGGGGCTGGTTTGGGTGCGCTCCCCAGTGCTCAGAGGCCCCTCTGCCCCGCAGTGATCATCAGCCGGCAGCAGCGCCGCGTGCAGCTGATGCGCATCAAGCAGCGGGAGGACCGAAAGGAGAAGAAGAAGAAGCGGAGACCCCACCACCCGCCGCCCCACCAGCACAAAGCCCACCCGCCCGAGCCTGCCTACCGCCGCAAGCCCAACCCTGTGCGCCGCTTCGATGGGGACGTGCTCTCCCCCGTGAGTCCCGCACCCAGGGTAGAGATCTCCCCCGGCCTCCATGGCCCTTCCTTCTCCATGTGGGTGGGCTGGGGTGCAGAGAGGGGAGAGGTTCCTGGGTGCCAGCCGGCATCCAAGCTTTTCGAGGGACAAGGCTGGGGCATCCCAGGGACCAGGCAGCTCAGGAGGGGCTGAGCTGGGGTGTGCCCACCATGGAGCACTTCAGCTTTTGCAAGCAAATGTAAACTGGCAGCCAAAACCGCTGTGGCCACAGTAGGAAGTGGGCAAGGCGCAAAGCATGCACCAAGAGAAGGGACAGGGCTGTGCACGCTGCTGTGGCCAGTCCCTGGAGCACCCAAGTGCTGGGGTGGGTGGAATTGCACAGGGCTGGCTCTGGGGAGATGCTGTAGACCTTAGGGTGGGGTGGGATGGAGTGGCCCAGGAGCAGAGCCCCCCTCACTTTCTGTCCCCCCTCTCTCAAGCAGAGCTACATCCAGAGTTTCCGAGAGCGGCAGACAGGACCGTCCCTGAACAGCCTCATCACCAGCTCCCATGCCGTGGTGGACCTGGACTATGACTGCAGCTCCACCGTGCCCCTCACCACGGGCTCTGGCCCTGCTGTGAGGGTATAAGCCAACCCAGTGACCTCGAGTGATACCAGCACCCCAGCCTGCTCCGACAGATGCCCTGGGACAGGCGGGGCTGTGCCCTCGGCCCCAGGTGGACAAATGCGGCTCGGGGCTGTGGATGGAGACCCTTCCTGGGGATGTGTGGGTCTTGGCTGGGCAAGCTCTGGCTGCCCACAGGGCCTGGAGGTGCTGGGGGAGCCTTCCAGTAGGGACTCAGCCCAAGAACTGGGGACGCCAGCACCCATGGATGTGCAGTGCGAGCAGCTCTGCTGGGGCTGGGGGTCCCTGAGCCCCTGCTGCTGTGTGTTTCCCCATGGCTTGGGCACGCTCATCCTGCATCCCCACATTGCTCTCCCCTTATTTGAACCCCCCTTCCCTGAGAGCAGCTCTCCACGCCTGCCCCCACCCCATCACACCCCCCAGCAACTCCCCAAGTGCCTGTGCCCCACGTCCCTTCCTCAAAGAGCAGGTCCCACAGCCCTTGCCCCCACAGGGACTCCCCTGAGCATGTGCGCCCCGTCCCACCCTGGCCCTGAGAGCAGCTCCAAGGCAGCACTTCCCAAAACCTGCCTCCTCA